ACCGATTGGTCCTGGTTAATTCCAAGGCGTGATTAAAAAAGCAACCACATCCGAAAGTAGCACTCCTTATTGAAAAGTGCCTCTGGAGTCTGTCTTACAATATTATTACCCGCATACCATGGAAGATCATCCAGAGCAATGTAAAAAGATGAAGACCTTTAAAACTCATGGTCATAGATGATACGCAGCGAAATCCTCTCTACGTCCCTGTTTTCGACAATATCGAAGCAAACGAACAGGTTCATAGATGATTCGAAACACTTCTGCCCACTAACATCAGGACCGTGATTTCTCCTTAAAAGGCAAGTGGCGCGTTTTTAATAAATTATTACTAAAAATCATATTGATAATATGGTTTCGGAATGATTCACTCTTTTGCTCCCATTGTCCGAATTCTATGCAGAGGAATTAGCGGATAGCCTTTGCCATCTATTAAGTAGGTAAAGAGCTAACTGATTAAATAGTTATAACCAGCTGTTAAAATTAAATCTCAACGACATCTGGAAACTTCCAATGTCAATTATCATGCTTCTTTAATGAAGCCATGCTTTCCGGATCACCACCTTCTCTACATTGGTGACGGTAATGAGCAACCTGAAACCGAAAGACCGTCATCTCAATATTGCAGGTTAGTGAAGACAAATGGATAATCGAAATGTTTATATATTGAACTAATGCAACTTCACCGATTTTTGGATAAATAAAACGAGAATGATGAGCATACGCAAAGAATTAATCTACAATGTCTCCGGGCCATTAACACTCGAATGTAGAGCGATTTGCATGTAAATAAGCTTAAGTATTTTGTTTTTTAATTATTTGCTGAAAAGTCTAATGTATGCAATGTAGTGTGGTTTTGATTTGAGTGGATGAAATGTACCTCAGTAAGCCATTAATAGTGGGTTAGTAACAAAAAACAACACCCCAAAGGACAGATCCGACAAGACAGCATTTGTTTAAAAGGCATGAGTAACTGCATAAGATTTAACTTTTACACTAATTATCCCACAGGCACTTACCCACTTCCGCTGACAACAAGGTGATCCTCAGCCTCACGCCTTCCATGTAAAGGCGAGCTAATATGCCACAAAAGTAAATAAAGGCTCCAATTAAACCTAACTTCTCAATCAATTCAGCCACAAACGCAAAGTGCCCATCACTTCGTTAGGTTCGTTTACCAAAAGTAAGGGTGATTGTTTAATTTCAGATATGATATTACGCCATTTGTCAAATTAATCGAAAACTAACCAGCCATTTTTCATTGCGGATCAACAAAGCAGAATGAGATACCTATTTCGCACTTTCCAGGTGGCCATTTGGCATCGAAGTTAGGCAGACTTGTGTGCTTCTTATGAGCAAAAGCAATTGAACTTCATTCATTACCAGTTCCGATGCAAGTTACTCGAAAATTCGATTGTGAATTGTTTGCTAGATCCTCCTTCAGCTAAGCTTGCCCCTGGAACCTGTCAACAAACACTACTCATTTTAAAGTGATTTTGCTTCCTACCACCTGAATTCTGTATTCGTGTCATATTGACGCCTTGCGTAACCACACAGGCATCACAATCAGTGGTCCCAATGTAAGCTGTACAATGTATATTCTCTATTTTACCCACTTCGAGGGTTCCAATACCGCACTTGGAGAGTGCAGAACAACTTCACTTTAGAATGTAGTCTGAAGCAGTCCGACTTTAAAACAGCATCATTGAGTAATATTACACATAGTTAGCCATACTAATTAAAAAGTAGTAATTTTTATCTTTCGAATTCATCTACATTAATATTTTAAAATAAAGTGCACTATTTTTTATCTGTCATCGATTCAATGCAAATATTCGCCAGCTTTTAATGATAAAAAAAATTATTTAAGCATTTTCGTTTTGGTTATTAGTGTATCTAATTCGAGAAATTATTAGACAATAAGCTTCTTAAAGCTTGCCGTTGATAGTCATATGATCTTAAGGTCACATTACCCGCCTAACTAAAGTAAAGTAGTCATGGTATTGTGTGCTAATATTCAGAAAACTGCGCATTTTAAAATCGTTCTCATGATTATAAGCAAACCCATACATTGGATTTCAAATTACTTTCAGCGTACTTATTCGTAGACATTTGCTTTTAATGTCGTTAACCCTATAAAGGGAACATTTATCGGGAAAATGAAATTAAGCATTCATTGTTGTGGGTTCAGCCCAATACCTGAGCTTAAACTTGTATTTACTTAGAATTTTTACTTTACTAAAAGAAGAAATGCAAGTTACGATTTATAATTCTTTTGTTATCATTTAACTTCAAGGCCAGTAGTTGATTTTTTTATCTCTAGCTAAGATTCGGTGAATTTTCCTCAAAATTTGTTTTTTTGCCAAATTTTAGAATTTTTGTTCCCACTGTTGATGTACTCCTGATGCCTTAATGGTAATTGGGGCTCCAAGGCATCTACGACATTATTTTAAGTGATGCTCAATGCCGCAATATGACATTTTCTCGACGTTCAAACTCACTGGGTCTCACGAAAGCCTTCTCCAATCTGCTCTCTTCGAAACACTTCAACAGTTACAGTTCTATGCGTCTAGAACTTCCTGTGAAATGTTTGCCTGAGAAAATTTCATCCAAAGGTCTAACATTATTGCCCCACGGCGAAAATAATCCTTCCTCAGGGTCAAATCGTAAGCTATTTTGTTGAGAAGGTATAAGAAACTTCTAGCCTAACAGGATAATCAATGCAAATGCTATTCGTACGCGTGTTATGCTGGGTATTCAATTTATTCAACTTATTGAGATTAGAAAAAACCTAACCACATTGTTTTAATTAATTTAACTGATTAGATTAGTTTTTCTTGGTTATTTTGCATCAGACTATCATTCTTTGTTAATTACTTTTATTTATCTTGTTTTAGATGAATTCACAAAAGGTGACATAAGGTCCAAACCTGATGGTATGTCTTGAGTGCCTTTACCATTCATGATTCCATCACAGGACTACTAGCAATTATAAACCAATTACAGTCTTGCTCAAACTCTATTGGTTGATCTGACCATCAGAATATGTGCGTGTGCAGTTCCTTTCACTTTTCTGTCCTCTTTAGCTTTGCACAGACGCAGTCTAGAGAGGCGTCACTTCAAACATCCTCTCGTCTCCATCGTTCCACTCATCTCGAACCATCTGCCTTTCCATCACTCCGACGAACTCTGTCTTTCGGATCCGCCTCCTGTAGATACTGTCAGTGTCTATGCAAACCACTTGGCCACAACCCACTTTGCTTGTGTCGAATCTCTTGAGGTGAACCACGGCATGAGTTCCAGTTTAAAACAACTTGGAGAAGATGGCTCCGCGCAAACCTCACCCTCCCAGGATGCTCCAATCTTTGCCATCCACTCTTCTTCTTATACTCGGACAAAAACACCTCATGAGGTCAAACTGCCCTTGTCACCATCTACCTCTTCTGCCTCAAAGAAACGAAATTCGGATGACTGCTTAAGCCCCAAATCCAAGGTCAGTGGGTGTAGCAAACAGAACACTGCCACTAATAGTATCATCGGTGAAGGTACGGATGGGATTGTCGCAGGATCTGCCACATGCCTACTGGCTAGTCGACGGAACTCGAAACCTACTGTCTGTACTGCGGATCCTGCTGTCTTATTGAAAGCAAAAGGTGTTGCAGACGAGGCAATTAAAGTAAGAATTTAACAGTTCTCTTCAATTCTGTCTAATTATATAGTTTTGCTAACTTTTAAAAACGTCTTTAGTTTGAAGTATTTCGTTTGTTGCTAATCCTCCCAAGAATGGAGTCTTTCTTCGTCCAATCCCTTTTTCGCCTCTTTAACTACTCCTGTCACAATGGTTGTTTTTTGCCGGACGGAAATCGCGGTAAAGGATGGTATACCTCAATTTCAACTCATGGTAGAATGCATGTCCAGTCAAATATTGCCAGCATGATATCTTTATAATCCCACTTTTTACCATAACATTCAGCATAAATTACTGTTTCGCATCGCTCACTTTCTTTCGTTTTTAAAAATTGCCATGTTCATTTCTGACATTTTTCGCATAACTTTCCCGCAATGTAGTGGTATTCGAAACTTGCTGCACACCTTGAGGAAATTTTGAAAAAAAGAGTTAAACACAGAGTAGTTATGGTCTTGGTTCCTAAATGTCTGATGCTTCCTGCGATGCGTCTTGAAGGCTTTGCTGAGTGTGCACTTATCGTGAACTGTGTTGCGGACAAGTTTGCGAAAAGGATCACTCATTCCTTTTTCTTTTTTCCTCCTGTGCTTCCCACAGATCATTCATTTTATTTCGGTTGTCCGCTAAATGCTGATGACACTTCGCAGCCTAACTATATTTAAACGATTCAATGCAATGATAAACAAATTTAAAAGCACTTATCTTTGCTCTTTGCCGAGCGTTCATACCGCCGACACAATTTCTGCTTCAGATGTGGCATGTGTGACAGTTATACATCCAACTCTGCCTTAAAACAATAAATCCTAGTCCACTACATGAGGGTAGACGCGAGTTAGTACACTGCATGCAGCGACACGACTTGCTACTGTTTCTCTAGCTCTTAAATTTACAACGCAACCATACATTTACCGTTTTTCTGGATTCTTATCGCGTCTCACTTCTGACATGTGGTGCTTACCGAATACGGTCTATCCATTTTCCTCTTCTGGAATGACTTCCGCATTGTGAACTGG